ACACACACACACACACACACACACACACACACACACACACACACACATACACACACACACATCTACTGAACAGCTGGACTGTTTTTTCTCAGCTGCTGGGATTCTGTATAATAGAATATATAGCCTGCGATGGCCTAGCATAACGTCATTCCTCTCTAAAGCATATCTTCCAAGTGCTTGCGTCCCTCAGCAGTACAAACACACATTTGCACAAGTCCCAAGTTAATTGCAATTGCTTCGCCAAATTTTTGTCTAAACTCAATTGAAAGTGCGTCTGTCGCAACTCCTTGCCAAAACAAACGTTCTGCCTCTCGTCATGCCCAAAAATGAGCGGAAATGGAACAAAGGAATAGGATTTGCGTACATATGTGTCAGCGCGGAGCAGCTTCTAAAAATGGCCTGCATGGAGAGCATGGCGTTGCTTGTGGGTGCGAGTGATCAGGGTTGTGTTATTTTGGTCAAAGGCACTGGAATTAGTGGCATTTTGCAACTTTCCTTCTGTGATGTCTTATTGTGGAAAACAGATGTACTGTAGTTGTGCAATACGAGTATTAACTGACATAGTGAACATGTGTTGTGAGGCTGAAGTAATATGTTTATTTGGACGTGTTTGATGGCTATGTTGCAAGTTCTAAGAGCTATGTTTGGACGTTTCTAACAGAATTTTCTTCTTTTTTGTTCTTCGAACTAATGCAGTTTTATTTCCTGTCTTTTTGCCCTCATCCCCTTTCTTTCCTGCCTTTATTTCCCGACCCTTTTTTTTTTTAAATCACAGAATGCATTCCCCAAGCCTTCAGTATAGTGCTCTCCCAGGTCATTGCTAATGACAGAACTCACAGGCAGCGTCAGGACGGCCATCGTCAGGACCCGCCGCAACGCGAGGAGCACAAGGACTCCTCTGACCTTGTCTCGTCCATTTTACAGGTCAATCAGTTTCTTACTCTCCCTGGGTTCCATATTTAGATTTGTTTAAGGCATTTTCAGGACAAATATCAAACTATATAGAAGAAGACAAATTATACTGTCTGAAGGAAAAGCCAAAATGTAACTCTTGGATCATCTGTCCTGCAGTTTGCCACCAAGCGGACGTCCAATAAGGAGTTATCCAGCAGTAACTCCTCTTTGAGTTCCACATCGGAGACGGCCAATGAGTCAACGTCACCCAACACGCCCGAGGCTGCACCCCGAGCATGCAGGAGGGTGAGACTAAATAACATAATTAACCCCAGTGTGAGCTACAGACCTAGGATCAGGTGTTGTATTCAGTTGAACCCGTCTGAATGAAAATGCACGATTAACCTCCAGGGAGGCATGTCAGTGGACTCGATCACGGACCTGGACGACAACCAGTCTCGCCTGCTCGAGGCCCTGCAGCTCTCTCTGCCCACCGAAACGCTGAATAAAAAGGAGAAGCACCGGGACAAAAGGCTGAGTCTCAATCCCATCTACCGTCAGGTGCCACGGGTGGTCGACAGCTGCTGTCAGCACATCGAGAAATATGGTGAGCAGCTAAATTCCCCACTGTCGCCAACATGTATCACCTCCTGGTACGACTACGACAGGTGCACGAGACAGCTATTGCTTTCCGGTTTTGAGGGTTTTTTTCTTCGCTTCTCCACTCCAGGTTTGCAGACTGTTGGGATCTTTAGAGTGGGAAGCTCCAAGAAGAGAGTCCGACAGGTGAGCTCATTTGGTGTTTTGGTGATGGAGCCGACATCGGCTGATTTTGCAGGAAAGTGAAATTACTGTTCTGTACGAAATCTTCCAATACCCAAGCTCCATACAAATAAGATTGCAATGAGTTATTCTACTGCATGTATACATCGCGTCTTTATTATAAACTCATTAAATAAAATGGTTTGTATTCACACATCTGGATAATACGTGTGACAAGTGTAAATAGCCATTTAGTCTGTGTTGATACAATCCAACGTCAACATTTATGCATTAGCCGCCATCGTCGGCTTATTGTGAAATTAGAATTTATGAAAGCAGGTATTTAAGTGCTGAGCAGATGACCCCTATATAACAATCATCATGGTCCAAACTAATTCCCTGGAAGTCACCCAAAAGTCAGATCGAAGATTAAGATGCGTACTGGTAGAACTAGTTTGAGGCTACCAGGTCACTTGGAGGACCAACACGAAGTGAGTGTGTGTGGCTGTGTGCACTACCGAGATATATAATGTGCATTGTTATGTGTGGAGGATGTTTCTGAATCGCCCTCTTCCTCTCTTTTCTTCAACTGCAGCTACGTGAGGAGTTTGACCGCGGCATTGACGTCCAGCTGGACGAGGAGTACAGCGTTCACGACGTGGCTGCTCTGCTGAAGGAGTTCCTCAGGGACATGCCCGACCCGCTGCTCACCAGGGAGCTCTACACGGCCTTCATCAACACCACATGTGAGCTTCCCCCCCCCCCCCTCCCCTCCCCCACATGACCTCCGCTCTCCTTTTGTTTTCTTCTGTTCCTCTTTACTCACTTTTTAAACCGCTCCATCCTAATCCGTGTTGCAGTGTTGGATTCAGATGAACAGCAGAATGTTACTCAGCTGCTGGTCTACCTGCTCCCAGCATGCAACAGCGATACCCTCCACCGCCTCCTGGAGTTTCTGTCCACCGTTACCGACCACGCCCACGACCGGCAGGACAAAGACAGACAAGAGGTAAGCGCCAGTTTTTGTACCAGAAGAGGGAATACGACTCAAAAAGATCATTCATTAAATCCATGAACTAAGAGAAAATAATAAAAAGACGGGGCAAAAGATCATATCTGAAGCATCCAAATGCAGTTGCCTTTAGTCACATTCAAACAAGTGCAAACAGCTTGTGGACAGCTAAATGACCAGAGAAGTGATCGGAATCCATTTGTGTGGCTCGTATGTCCACATATCGGCATCTGATGATGGCTGGAGACTACGAGTTAGAAAATGAAACTGTTGGTTTTGAACCTGTGATAGTCAACATAAGGGGCGTAGAGGTCAGGATACAGGAAGTGACATCATGACCTGTGATTGTTTTAATGATAATCCACTCTCCCGCACTCCCTTTAGCCGTCTTTAATTCCCACACCATGGACTCATGCACGTGTGTCCATATCAATCTCACCACTTTGTGTGCGTGTTGTTCAAGTGTGAGGTAGAAGTGTGTTTCGGCATGTTTGTGCGCAGATGGAAGTGTGTTTTTTCCTCTGTGCGTAATGCAGGAGAACAGACTCGAACATTGACGTGCGTGTTTTTTCCCTTCACAACTTCACGGCGCCTCTGTATCTGAGATCGTGACAGGAAGTCGGAGCGTTTCACACTCGGGGCCCTGGAACAACACTTCTAGACTTTTTAGCCGCTTGTGGCTCCCGTCTCTCCCCCGGGGCTGGGAGTGAAAAGGGAGGAAACTGGGGAGAGATGCAGAATTATGAATTTATCTCTCTAAAAAAAGTTGTTCAAGCTTCGAAGGGCTTGTAACTTTAGATGCTAATTGTGTCACAGGATGCGCACCATCACCCAAACCTGATAAACAGATTCAGCTGTCATACACTCCGTCACTTTTAGTGTTAACAATCCCCATGTGCCACTCTGCGTCCATCTTTTGCTCAAAGTGACAAAAAAAAGAGAGGGGGGAGTGTGCCAAGAGAGACAGAACGTTGGAGGGAGAGATGAGAAAATTAACATGAAAGGATGGATGGAGGCTGGAGATGAAAGTGGGAACTGGAGAAGGAGGAAAGGGAGAGAAGAAGAGTCAGGAGGGAGGAGATGGAATCTCTCAAAGGACCGTGTGACTGCGGCAGTGTGTTATCATTTCTGCAGCACTTCTCAGGTTCTACAGCCTCAGAGCGTTTTCAGACCTGTAGTTTGTTTGCTTTGTTCCGCAGGAACTTATTTGAGACAATCGTTGCATTTGTCCCTTGGTTCATTCAAAAGCTGTAAAAAAGTCGTTGGTCAGAAATATTACCGGGAAGGATCGCCTCCAAATGCTTCCTCGTCTTTCTTTTTTCTTTGCTAGGGGGATTAAGTATTTAAGGTCTCCTCAATGGTTTACAGAGAGTACCTGATCCAGCATTCACATGGCTGCACAAACTGTTTGTCTCTCCGATGACAGATCACCGGGAACAAGATGACGTCTCTGAACCTGGCCACCATCTTTGGCCCTAACCTGCTCCACAAGCAGAAGAGCTCGGACAAGGAGTTCAGCGTCCAGAGCTCGGCCAGAGCCGAGGAGAGCACGGCCGTCATTGCCGCGCTGCAGAGGATGATCGCCAGTTACCACACCCTCTTCATGGTCAGTCATTGAGCATGTTTCTGACACCCATCCCTACTTCCTGAATTCATTCTTCCGCTCCTCTGCTGAACACACACAATCCCTCCTGGCTTAGCAACAATGCCTGCGTCTTTGGTAATAAAATCTTAGTGGAGAGAAAGAAGACAATAAAGGAAGTAAGAAAATACAAATAGAATGCAAGATGACAGATGGATGGTGTGTTTTTGGTCCAAGTCATACCTGAATTCTTGTGAGTAAATGTAAGAAGAAAGTAAACTCTTGCCAGTTGGCCGACAACATCGAGAACTTTTCATTGCGATACTTGAACTTATTCTTTCCAAAATAAAAGCAGAAAATTCAGGCTTGAAGAGGTGACAGTTTTCTCAAACACCACACACTGCAGGTCATTTCAGGTCCGAAACCTGAAACAGTAATGTTTTGTAATCTGCCACTGCCGTTCCCCCCGAGGCTTACATTCCTGCAGTAAGCCAATGAAGAGCTATTAATCGCCTATAGTGAATTGGAACCGACTTGCTCAGTGTTGGCGAGTAAAAACAGATTTGTAGGCAGCTCGAGCTCTGTGAATGGCATCTGAATGTTGTTTCGTAACTCGCTTATGTCATATTTTCAAAGCGTTTGAGGATGAGAATCGTTCGCAGACAGTGCGTGCTTTGGGCCGTGTTCTTCATTATAATTCACTTGTTTAATGAGCATAAAACAAAGGTTATTACCCTAACAGTCAGATGAAGAAGTGCACTGGAAATGAAGGCAAAAGAGATTAATGTTCGATGAGGCTGGATTTACATTTTAGTACATGGAACAGGTGGAGTTGTATTTACTAGAAATCAAGTACAGACTAATGCAATTTATGTTATTGGGAAAAAAAGAAATTGGTGTAAATGTAAAGTTGTCTTCAGCAGATTAACTGTGTATATGATCTAAAACAGGCATAGGAGTAGAACAGAGAAAAATACTTTTGATTCATTCATTTCACGCAAATTGTTTTGTTAATAGTTAACGTCTGTTTAGGTGCCTCCTGATCTGCAGAACGAGGTTTTGATGAATCTGTTGGAGACGGATCCAGATGTAGTTGACTACCTTCTGAGAAGAAAAGCCTCACAGTGAGTTCCATACCCATAAACACACGAGGTGTTCACATGCATGCCGTCTGCTGTTCGCCTCCTTTCAACCGTCTGTAATTAACCACAGGAGTCCCGACCTGTTGCAGTCAGAGGAGTCCTTCTCCATGAGCGAGCGCCATTCCTCCAGCGACTCCAACAAGGTGTCCAGCGGCGAGGTGTCCCCTTACGACAACAACTCCCCGATCATGAGTGAGCGGAGAGGGGAACCGGGGAGCGAGCCGCTCTTCTGTGTCCCGGAACAGTACACTCTGGTGGGGCAGGTGGCCGGCTGGAGCAGAGAGCCCGGGGCCGACACTTGGGGCAGCAAAGGTGAATGACTCCTAGTTGTGGATGATTGGATTTTTCATATCTGATCTCACGTTTCTTTAAAATTGTCAAGTTTTTTGCTGGACATACAAAAGGAATATTATGGAGCTTTTGCTTACTGTGCAAGAGGAATTTGACCTCTTTTTTTTCTGTCCTCAGACGCTTTATCAGAGGAGCACGCTAACATTTGGGGGACGTGGCACACGACGCTGAAACCAACACTCAAGGACCATGCACACACAGGTAAACTGTTTCATTGAGGTTGAAGAGCCAGAGCAGTGAGTGCCCGACACCGGGGGCCGGTTATTAAAGTCCCAGTGAAACGGAAGTTAGAGCTTCTTTAGCTTCTGTACCGAGACGTATTCCCCAGTGAGACGGAATACTTGGAATAAAAAAGAAGACATTTTCCATTTCATCACGACTTTAACTATCAGGGGGGAACAAAAAGCTGCTTTTTTTGTTTGTCATTTTTATAGCAACTGATTCCCACATGTGATGCCGGGTGAATGCGTTCAACCGATTACCTCGCTTAAAGGGTAGAAACTAAATCAGTATTTTGATACAGTTGCAATTGTTCAGTCATCGCGCAACACTGTCTGAATAAAAACCTACAGTGTTAAAATGATATGCAAAATTCGGCGGAAAATGTATTTCATTCAGCCCAAATAATTCCAAAGACTCCGTAGTTCAATTGACCTTTTAACAGTAAAAACAAAACAATTTGGGTTTTATTTATCCTCCATCTTTCCATTGAAGATACAATAAGGCCTGCCGAAAGGTTCGTCAATCAAAGCATTTCTTTGCACATTTTTTTATGTCGAGCACAAACTAGTGACGCGTGTATCCCTTGTTATTCACCAAACTATAATTAAATCTGCTGATGTAGTTGATGTTCTGTTTCTAGGTTCCCATGGCAACATGTCAGAGGGAAGTTCCCGCAGCTCACAGGAAGGCCTCGACGGACTCCATGGCGACGGCAGGCAGCAAGCAATGCTGCAACGGACTCAGACGGCGCCTGGCATCGGCGAGTGCAGGCCCCACCCCCCGGTCACCAGAGTGTGTACCAGCCCCCACGTGGAGCCGGGACCACCACGCCTGCAGCTCAACGCCAACCCCTCGGTGATGTCCCACCTCAACAGCACGCAAGGGCCCCATCGAGCAAGTGGACACGCGCTTAACCCGACCTCCAGACCTCAAGGCGGGTTGAGCACCGGCGAGGGCGGCCCTGCTGTGCTCAACGACAGACGCACCCCACCCCCTTACAGCGGCCGCCATCTGCGACTGGCTAGTTCGCACAGTTCACCTCAGCTCGCGACGGCTCAGCGGCCCCCTCTGCAGCACGGGAGGCAGAGTGCGGCGTCGAGTAACTCGGCCTCAACGACAGAGAGCCAAATGGTGCCGCAGAGCCCAGAGTGGCAGGACTGGCAGAGGGACCGGTGGCAGATCTGGCAGCTGCTGTCCTCGGACAGTGCCGACGCACTGCCTGAAACGCTGGTGTGATCTCGGGCCATGGACTTAATCTCTGTGGAGATTCTGATGGCATGATCAAACCCCTCCAATGACAATCGCTCCTCACCCCTCCCTTCATTTCATGTTACCCGTCAGCTCGCCTTTTCATCCATCCATGGATTTCATCCTTTCCATGAACCCCCCTGTGCTTCTCCTGCATCCCAGTGCCATGGAGTTGTTGTTTACGTGTGCAGCTGCTGCCTTATACAGACTTTTACATCCAAGAGCCACTAGTATTTCTTGTTTTAAATGGATGCTGCTTCTGTTGTTTGCCCATTATGTTTTGATTTGATGCCCACCAGAAATACCTCATGAAACAATCCTTTCCCAACTCCTCAGAATGTTCCCACGCTCTTATTTTCTATTCACAGTGACTTCAGTCTTCATATCTCAATGGAGAACAATAGGAAACCATTTGTTTCTTTAGTTTGTTGTATTTTCAATTCATACATTTTAGATTTTTTTTAAAAACTCCTTTTCACCGTCCAGGCACCAACATGTACCCATTAGTCATTGCTGCTAAGTGTAGAATTTCTGTGTTCGTACTGGTATTGCAATTCAGCCACTCCTGTCTAAAAAGATCAAGTGTACTTAACCGTCAGATTACGTTTGTGTGAGTGAATGAGTGAGATATATATATATATATACATATATACATACATACATACATACATACATACACACACACACACACACACACACACACACACACACATATACACACGTGTAAATTGACATGTAAAATATATAAATTGCCAATCTGCTAAAAGTAAGTCAGCCCTTTAACTGCCAGTCTAAATGTTGTGTTTGTCAGACTGCTGAATTGTCTTTAATATTGAATGTAGAATATTTCGCTTTTTGCAAAAATGCTTTGACCTAATTATAAATCACTTGGCTGTAAGTTTGCTGATATGTGCTCGTGCCACCTGCTGCACGGCAGGAACATTGTGCCAAAGTCTCTTTTGTTACTTCAGGATTTTTATCGTACAGTTGTGGTCATTTCATCCAGTCATTCATTTTGGGGAAAAAAAAGACTCGAGAGCTTATGACACTTGCAGGCGTTTGTATGGAATTTCAAAGTGTAAGAGTCACAAGGCTCATTTTAAGACACAAAAATTTCATCATCAGGATCATATTCCCAACAAGATGAAGCCCACGTAATACATATCTAGAATACTTTTTAAACGTCAGCATGTGCATACAAATACTACAATCTAGTGTATAAATAAGAACCAATGTTAGGGTTGGATATATGCCAAATAGTTCTTTTAAATAACTCTCAGCCTTTAGAAATCCTTTCTGAAAGGACAGAGGTGAAGAATTTAGAGAACCTTGTAAATGTACCTTCTTTTGATTTGTCAAATGTTTTTTCACATTGCAAAGATTCTAAATAGCAAATGTATTATTTGACCTACATCTGGTTACATCAGAGCAAAGTATATGAACTACAGTCTGGAACTACATTTACCAAGTTCAGAGTTCACCGCTATGAATTCACACTAAAAGTATGCATTTGTGATTTACCGACTGTGGTTGTTACCAACCCAATACACCATGATGATATTAACAGTACTAGATTCTGACTGACCCGTGTTATTATACCTCTCATGGTCGACTGAATGTTCCACTTGAGCCTGTATAAAAGGTTTGAGTGATTTTCCCGGAATCAATAAAATTCAAAAAGATGTAATGATTCTGCAGTAGTCCAACTGTGGTGCTACTAAATAAAAGAAAAGAAACTTTGCTCACATATTTTCTCATTTCAATTCCAGTATTGTTGCTAAATGAGATTGGGGAAAAAAACCAAATACTTTTCTGAATACATCCACAACCGACCAGTCCAAATCCTCTCAAATGTCAGTCAAGTGGGTATTTGCTGGCAAATATTTCACATTTTCTCAAGTTATGGTGTAATATTTGAAACCACGTCAGCATTATGTAGAATTTGACGTCTTCTTTGTCCTTGTAACGTGTGAGAGCTTCACAAGTGAGAGACGTGGAAGGATTGTGGTAAGGCTTGCGGCGCCATCTATTGTCCGACCATGTGTACTAGCATGCTGCTGCGCCCCACAGTTCACCGTTTCCATGGGATCCATCTAAGCCCGGTTTAGAAACGATTAGCTCAACATCATAAGCACCTTTTGTTTTGTGAAAATCTGTAAATCCATGTGAGGAAATAAACATGCTACAGGTCTTGCTCTTAAAAGTTGTTTCTCCATGCATTGATCAAGGTTCATATTTTGTTAATTGTTTTGTATTACTTTGTTTTATCGGTTGAGTGTTGTAATATAACAATTTTTATTCAATGAGTAAAAAAGAGGAGGGACTAATCCTAATGGTCCGAGCTATGTCTCCCCAAACCAAGCCCATGTTTGTCTCGTTGACTTCACAATGAAACTAAGACAACCTTAGTGCAGTGGTGTTTTATTGTGGATATTTTCGGTGGGATTTATTGGGTCCAAGTTGTAATGGAATGTCTGGCAATTGCTTTTGTACTGCGTGTCATCATCAATATGCTACAATGGAATTAAATATGATAAAGTTTACACGAGCTGTTGAAGTCAATGCTTTGCAGATACGACATCCTATTATATCGTTATTGTGCAGTATGTAATATGATACCCTGTCTCCAAAAGCAAAACAACTGAACTGCGCTCTCAATTACGTTTGAGGGGACATTTGTTTCCACCTGACAACCTTTGATTTTACAGTTTAGTTAAAGTCGTTAATTTGAACACAAACTGAAAACCTTACAAAACTAATTTGTTAGGATTAGGCAACAAAACTACAGTGTGAAACACGTATTAACATTGTAAATTACAACAAAACACTACTAAACTACTTCATTAAGTTTTGGCAACAAAACAATTTAAAACAAGTTATACAGTTAGTCAGAAAAACACTACATAACCACTTTAAGTTGAAGCAAATAAAACTTGTTTCACAGGGGGCACAAACAGCAGTCTTCTGGGTTTAAAGCCACAACCTAGACCTCGTCACAATGCAGACTTCCGTAGACTCATTTCAAACGTATTTGTGATCCATCAAATGCAAACGTAATCCCCAATAAAGTACGTTTCCCTTAAAGCGTAACGGTTTGTTGTATGAGAAAGCTGAGCTTTCTGGTTTGTGAATGAGCAGTGTGTAGAGTTCTATGAGTCTTGTCCACGTTGAGGACACGTGCCTTAGTTATATTTTCAAGCCAAAGGTCATAAGTACTTTTTAAGATGCATAACGACCATGAGTCCTGGGTGTGTCTGCCTGCAGTCGTGAGTGGGTTTGGGGATAGCCGGGAGATGTTTCCGCTGGTGGGTGGCATACCATTATTGTTTATGTGGTGTGTGGTCACAGTCGTGTGATCTTTCCCTCAGTCGTCGACCCGAGGATTCACAGAGCTCCCTCGCCTACTCCGTTACTCACACACACACCGCACTGACGAATCAGCTTTTGCTCTCATAAAAGATAAATGGAACACTACTTTTCGTTTACATTATGAAATAAAGAGGTATTTTTTCATTTTGAAAAATTCATATTTTATGCGTGCAATTCAATTTGCAACCTCATGAATTTCAAAGAACTGCTCATTATTTGCTTCTGTACAGTGTGTGTGTCTCTTGGCTCCATTATTTTGGCAGCGTCTGGCTTTAAGAAGAGATCAAAGTGGCGTATAGAGACTGCTGATAGTTAGGAGGTAGGAGATAGAAGGCTACTTGGTATCGGTGACAAAAGCAACGTAAGCCTGACAGGTGTGTGAGAGACGGATGTAATTCTCAGCCCTAAGCCCTGACGGCGGTGCCTCTGGCTTCAGCTGCAAGGACAAACGGAGCAAAAAAATATCTGAGTCTCTCGACTGGAAATGTCAAAGTGAGGCGTGAGCAGGCAGTTTCAGAGTCTCACCTTCAGAAACCTGGCGGAGTGCACAAAGCACTTTATTACCTGAAAAATACATGTGTGCGAGGGAAGTGGTGCAAAGGATAGAGGCGGTGGTCGAGTGAGCACTGGGAAAATGTCAAGATTGTCAGATGAGTTACAAAAGTACATGCAGGTCTGGGGCCAAAGCAAGTCAACAAGTCTCGGACTGTTCTTTTTAACTTCTTAACATGCAAATAAACACAACACTGTAATATGTTGTACAAATGTGGATCATTTGATGTTGGACTCTCCACCTAACCCGGCCATAAATTAACAGATTTCCAACCAGCTCAGCATTCCAAAACCTAATAATAGAGCCTCTCGTGGAAAAATGTCACAGTCCTGCAGGGGATACTCAAGAAAACTGCAAGCCGAGGCCTCCTGTAGCTGTTGAGGTGGTCCTGTACAGCAGTGGTTCTCAACTGGTCTGGCTGCGGGACCCACCATCACCCCTTAATGACAAGCCGCGACCCATGACCCAAATTTTTTTATTTTATTTTTTTTAAATATATATATATATATATATATATATATATATATATATATATATAATTTGGGTATATCTATATTCAAGAAGTCTAGTAGTAGTAACGTCTCTGTGTAGTAAACAACTGCCAAATCAAATAAATAAAGTACACATCAATTATATTTTAACAAATAATCTCATTTTTCAAATTTAACTGGATGGATTATAAATAATTCATAGAAATACATAAATAAATGTTCTCCTCATTTCAAGTAAAATAAAAAAGTGTTAAAAAATTAGTGTTGGAAGAATTCACCTGAGTCTGTCCAGTCAGAGTCTAATGACTCTGGTCTCTCTGGCCATTTTTCTCTTTTGGAGATCGTCCTATGATTTGACTTTCACAACTCTCACATCAATAGTCCTGCTCTGCTGTCTCTATCCTCGTCTCTCCCCCGTGTGTCACGGTGTGTGTACATCTCACTCAAGTCAGGAAACTTGTCAGAATACCCATATTTGATTGGCTGAGCGGCATCACGTGATGTGATTCTCAACGCATTGGTCGGTGTTTTTCCTGCACCGCTGAACAAGTGCCGTAAATGCTGGAATAATTCCGCTGCAAAATGCCCTTCAAAATAAAATCTTTTTTTTTTGTCAGGCAAAGGCAAATTTGGGGTCCGCGACCCACTTTTGGGTCGTGACCCACCAGTTGAGAATCACTGCTGTACAGGATGTGTTGATTTTTTGGCAGCTAAATGGAGTATCTTTTTCAGTCCATGAGCACATGTCCTCAATCAAATGTGTCTGCAGTGCTGAAATTTGTTTTTTACAGCTCAGATAATGTGTGATGGGTTGGTCGTGACTTCCCAATTATACCACTAGAGGTCAGTCGAGAGCCTTGGATAGCTTTTTGAAGCAGATAAAAGGTTTGAGATCAAGGCCTCATTTTTTTGCCTTTCATATCACCAAAACCACAACTGATGAAGAATGAATTAAACAAAACTAGTTATGGGAGCGGCAAATACAGGTAAGTCCATAACAAAGATTTGGTGAAGGTTTGGTGAAGGAGAGATAAAAGGAAAAAGGAATGGGGGGAAATAAAACAAGGAAGATTAAAAAGATCTCATAGCTTTTGGTTTCAATTCTCCTCAGCCCTCCCTGATAGCATATTAAAATCACCTCACAGACCCTCCAGAGAAGTGGAATTAGCTGCTAGCAGACCATTA